GCCGGCCTGCCGTGCAGCCCTGCCCCCGGGGCACACTGAGATGGAGATTGATACTGGGCATGGTGGTGCATGCCTGTAATCCCAGCTCTTGGGAAGCTGCAAACAGGCAGATCAGTACGAGTCCAATCTAGTAGTGAGACCCTGAACACCCTGAGACCTTTCCCTAAAATACAAAAATAAATAAATAAATAAAATCTTGATGGAGGGAGCAAGGCATCAACGTCAGGGCCTTGGCATTCAGCTACACCCTTAACTCTTTTTATTTTTAGATTTTTATTTTCTTATTTTATTTATTTGTATTTTAGGGAAGGGTCTACAGGGTGTTCGGGGTCTCACTACTAGTGCAGACTTGTAGTGATCCACCTGTTTACAGCCTCCCAAGAGCTGGGATTACAGACAAGCACAGGGTCCTAAGTTCAATCCCCGTACTAAAAAAAAAAAAAAATTGAGATAGGGTGTTGCTAAGTTGTCCAGGCTTGGGCTCCAACTTGCAGTACTCCTGCCTCAACCTCTCAGAATACAGAAATTGCTGCTGTGTGCCACCAATCCTGCCTCAGAACCACATTTAAAAGAGTATTCCACGAATGTGTTGACTGAATACACGGAACAATGAATGACTTCATTCATTCTATTTTCCTACGTTTTTTCTGCTCACCAGCACCCTTCAGAGTGTAATTTAGTTTCCTCGTTTAATTTGCCTCTAGGAAGAGAATGACCTCCATGTGGTGGGGATGTAGCTACAGGAACATGCCTTATAGTTCTCTCAGGAATGCAAGAGTTGCACTATGGTTTTATTTAAAGATACTGCAAGACAGTGAATGCTATGCTGTGAAACTCAGCAGGGGGCATAAAACTTGGCAGACACCTCGTGTAGGTCCAGTGAATGGCCACTGCTTCAGTGGAACATGTTGTTCCAGTTAACCAGTGCACCAAAAACATACTCTCAAGTTTACAAAATGGGATACTCACTCTAAAGTTTAAAAGGTGGTGAGTGGCTCATCAAACAGGAGATAGAGCTGGGGGTGCAGCTGATTTTGTGCCATCTCCCTTTCTTTATTCTAAGGGTACATATTGCACTGAACATTTTGGATAAAGCTCTTTTAGGCGTGAGTATGGGCCACTGGCTCTGTCCCCAACATTTGGATACAGTTGAAAACAGGTTAAGATGATCAATAGGAACAAGTTTTAAGGGAGAAGAGAAGGAAAAAACCTGAACCATAGAACTTTTGGGAAGCAGGACAGGAAGATTGCCATTGTCGGTCTCCCATGCTTAATGGGGAAGGGAAGATGGAACAATGTGTACTTGAGCTATTTGTCTTTTGTACTAAAAACAAGCTGGCTTGACCGCCTTTGCTCTCTCACACCAGCTCCCACAGGCCTAGTTCCACATTGGTCTGTTTTTGCAGCTGCCCAGGTTCATGAATGCCAGGCACCTGAATCACTCATGCATATTTTCCATACGGGAAGGTGGCCTGGTCTTGGGTAATTATTAAATTAGAAGAGAATGCTTTATAGAGAGCCCTTAAAGTTCAGCTACTGTTGTGTCCTGGGGGTGCAGTAAGGATGTAGGTGTAAGGAGCCACCTGACTGTTTAGCAGCCCGGCAATGGAAGGGGGGATTCCAGTCCTCCTCCTCAGCAGAATCATGTAACCTGAACAGATGTTCTAGAAAGCAAAAGGATCATAGCAGGAAACCTCAGTGAAAGGATGACTTTTTAAAGCAGCAAAGGAAACTGAGACAAGTAACGTCATGACCTTTGCCTTGAGATGGATAGAAAATAAAGAGGAAATAAACACAGGCAGTCACATGACATTTGATACTACAAAGATCGTTTGCTCACTGCCTGGAGCCAACTACAAGCCAACACACTCCCAAAGAACAAAAATAAACTAAACTCCCACAACCACTGATTACCATCTCCTCCCCTGACCAAGATCCAGGTCAAAAGAGTCTGGGACACCTTTTCCTGTCACCTGGACTACAATGAGAATCAACAGCTCCTTCAGGAAAGATCATACCTCTCAGTGCCGCCTCACTCACTGGACCACATACAAATAGTCTTAAAACTGCCAAACAAGCACAACACTCAAAGTACAGAAATCTGCCTTCAGTACAAGGAGTGAGTTTTTTCTACAGAGGGTAACATTCATTAAAGGAAACTGTATCATCCCTAACAGGTAAAATTTAGCGAAATAACCAGACCAGACAGCTAGATAGTTAGGCTCCACTCAATTAAGAAATTTAAAGGAATAAAGGTAATTTAAATGATTCAAATTCCTCATAATATTTTTTCACATTGTACTATAATGTATTTGGTTACATTATTGTAGTCACATTGGGTTGTATGTTGCTGAAAAAGGAATTTACCTCTCTCCTGTTCTCTTTTGTATCAGAGGTGCCCAGCTACCAAACACTGTGGAGTTAAGGTTCTCATGGGTAGTAAATAGATCAAAGCTCATAGATAATTTTATATTCTGCATATATTAATAGAAACATTGGCGAAATCAAGGAGCAAGCCCTCAGAAACCATGACGAATGGAAGAGTTCTTTGAATCAGGACTGCAGTATACAGCTGGGCAGTTTTCTCACTGCACAAGATCAACCACTCCTCTGTACAAAGTAGGGTAGAAAACCCAGCCTACATTCCACTCACCAAGCCATGAACCACACATTCCTTTGTAACTGCCTACAAGAAGCAGTGCCTTTACCCCCAATTACCCAAAAGCATTGTAGACACTAGAGATGGTCCTGATGTAAGTGACTTCAAATAATCTCTAGAGAAATCAGGAAATATTATCCTACCAACCAGACCCCATCACAGAAGGAGTAACAAATGAGCGCAGATCGCTTATTCTTGAACTGAGAACAACAAAGTTGGAGGTTATTTTGCTCTGGATTGTTAACATAGAGCGACAGGCTTATAAAATTTTTTAAAAATTTAAATGTAAGGTAATCATGTGAGGGAACCTGAGTACTCATTGAGTCTGATCCCAGAAAAGTGAGTTACTGAATCAGAGATGCATAAAATGCTGGAAGAAGCCTTACATGTCACAGAATCTGCTGGAAAGAACTAAGTATCTTGTCCATCAATGTTTCAGTTGACAAAAGAAATCCAAGGGATTAAAGAGGTCAGGTGATTTCCCCAGGATTATTAGCAAAACTGGGTCTAGAAGCCAACTGTCTTTCCATTCTTGGAGCTAGTAATCTTCTGCCACGCACGTGCAGCCGGGCATGCCATCATAATCTATTAACACTGGTTCTGCTCCCACTGTGTGGAGGACAGAAGTTGAGAAAACAGGAACTTACTGAAAGATCAGCAATAACAGGTGGCCTAGGAAGGCAGGTCACGAGTGGCTGCGACGATGACGAGGCTGCAGGCGGGACATGTACCCGGGAAATACTACTCAGCCACAAAGCAGGTTACATCTCAGCATTTGTAGGAAAATGGATGCATCTTCAGACCACAAAGCAAAGTGACACAAATCAGAGAGGGTTACATATTGCATGGTTTCTCTTATATGAGGAACCCAAAGTTTAAATAATAAGTGACAGATGGCAGGCATCTGAGAGGTAGAACTTTTGGAGGTGGGAAGGGGATATAGGGAGAAGGGAGGAATAGAAGGCAAGAAAGTACGAAGAGTAAGACGCAGTGTGTACGCGTGCCAACTCTCCACAGTAACTGTACTCATTACGTATCACAAAAAGGTACTTTATGAAAAGGCGAACGCGGGCAAGCAACCGGCTGGAGGCTTTGGACCGGAGCAGAAGCCTCCAGGCTCTCGATGCGGGGTGGAGCCTCAACATAGCTGGGCTCGGGACTTCGGAAGAACCGGGCCAAGGTAGCTGCGCAGCGAGACGCGCGGCGGGGTGACGGAGGAGAGCGTGACAAAGCCGGGTGGCGACCCGGGATGACCTCGCCGTCCCCGCGGAGGGACGGAAGGGCGAGAAACGTGGACGGAGGAATGGCCGAGGGCCGTGTCTTCGCTCGCAGACCTGACTTCCGGGGCGGGGCTTGGGGTGGGGCCTTCCAAGGCCCGCCCACGCCGACCTGCGTGACAATGGGCGGGCCGCCGAACGTGGGGGGCGGAGCCTTCGCCGCGGCTGCCGGCGCCGCATCTCTGTCCGGGATTTGAAAGATTAAAAGCCCGGGCGGAGAGGGCGGCGGCGTTGAATGTGAGGCGGAAGCTGTAGGGGGCACGGCTCGGTGGGCCGCCCGGCACCATGAATTACCCGGGCCGCGGCTCCCCGCGGAGCCCCGAGCGTAACGGCCGGGGCGGCGGCGCCTGGGAGCTGGGCGCGGACGCGGGGCC